TACTAAACCTCTAGGAAGAACAGTTTAGAACTGATAGATCTATCCAGTATAAATAAAATTAGTTTACTTTAGGTTTCCTCCTGTAGTAACCCTGGATCAATAAGAGATGACCCTTACTGAACCTCTAGGAAGAACAGTTTACAACTGATAGAGCTATCCAGTATAAATAAAGTTGGTTTAGTTTAGGTTTCCTGCTGTAGTAACACTGGATCAATAAGAGATGATCCTTACTGCACCTCTAGGAAGAACAGTTTAGAACTGATAGAGCTGTCCAGTATAAATAAAGTTAGTTTAGTTTAGGTTTTCTCCTGTAGTAACACTGGATCAATAAGAGATGACCCTTACTGAACCTCTAGGAAGAACAGTTTAGAACTGATAGATCTATGCAGTGCAAATAAAGTTAGTTTAGTTTAGGTTTCCTCCTGTAGTAATACTGAATCAATAACAGATGACCCTTACTGAACCTCTAGGAAGAGCAGTTTAGAACTGATAGACCTATCCAGTATAAATAAAGTTAGTTTAGTTTAGGTTCCTCCTGTGGTAAGAGTGGATCAATAAGAGATGATCCTTACTGGATCTTTAGGAGGAACTGTTTAGAACTGATAGAGCTATCCAGTATGAATAAACTTAGCTTTTAGTTTAGGTTTCCTCCAGTAGTAACACTGGATCAATAAAAGATGATCCTTACTGAACCTCTAGGAACAAAAGTTTAGAACTGATCGAGCTATCCAGTGTAAATAAAATTAGTTTAGTTTAGATTTTCTCCTGTAGTAACACTGGATCAATAAAAGATTATCTTTACCGGACCTCTAGCAAGAACGGTTTAGAACTGATAGAGCTATCTACAGTATCCAGTATAAAGAAAGTTAGTTTAGTTTAGGTTTCCTCCTGTAGTAACACTGGATCAATAAGAGCGGATCCTTATTAGACCTCTATGAAGAACAGTTTAGAACTGATAGAGCTATGCTGTATAAATAAAGTTAGTTTGGTTTAGGTTTCCTCCTGTAGTAAAACTGGATCAATAAGAGATTATCTTTACCGGACCTCTAGCAAGAACGGTTTAGAACTGATAGATCTATCCAGTATAAATAAAGTTAGTTTAGTTTAGGTTTCCTCCTGTAGTAACACTGGATCAAAAAGAGTTGATGATTACTGGACCTCTATGAAGAACAGTTTAGAACTGATAGAGCTATGCTGTATAAATAAAAATAGTTTAGTTTAGGTTTCCTCCTGCAGTGACACTGGATCAATAAGAGATGATCCCTACTGGACCTCTAGGAAGAACAGTTTGGAACTGATAGAGCTATCCAGTATAAATAAAGTTAGTTTACTTTAGGTTTCCTCCTGCAGTAACACTGGATCAATAAGAGATGATGATTACAGGACCTATAGGAAGAACAGTTTAGATCTGATAGAGTTACCAAGTATAAATAAAATTAGTTTAGTTTAGATTTTCTCCTGTAGTAACACTGGATCAATAAGAGATGACCCTTACTGAACCTCTAGGAAGAACAGTTTAGAACTGATAGAGCTATCCAGTATAAATAAAGTTTGTTTTGTTTAGGTTTCCTCCTGTAGTAACACTGGATCAATACGAGACGATCTTTACTGGACCTCTAGGAAGAACGGTTTACAACTGATAGAGCTATCCAGTATAAATAAAGTTAGTTTAGTTTAGGTTTCCTCCTGTAGTAACACTGGATCAATAAGAGATGATCTTTACTGGACCTCTAGGAAGAACAGTTTAGAACTGATAGAGCTGTCCAGTATAAATAAAGTTAGTTTAGTTTAGGTTTCACAGTAACTCACGACAAAATCATACTTCACGGCAAAAACCAACAGTTCATTTTTAATAATTTTACATTATAACTTTCTTCTTTATGTATAAATTGTGACAACCGTGATTGTTTTTGTTGACGTTTTGTTGCTATAACAACGAAGGTACGGCGAGTTACGAAGTCGATTTGCGAACGCCCGAAGATATTCCCACGGGTTTCGTGGATTTCGCGTGTAAGCAATATGAGCGAATCTTCCAGAGATTTAAAAGCAAAGTCGGTGAAGTTTTTCGATTTTCAAACATTGCAGAAAGGACCTTTGCAAGTAGAGATCATCTCTTTACAAAGATTAAGGTAAGTATTACACTCAACTATCTGGAATATATCCTAAATATTCATTTTAAGCGGACTTTGTGATCGAGAATAAAATAAATATGCAAGATTGATGCATGAATCGTGCTAAACAATTCCTAAATGCAAGGCTTACACGAATCTAAAAAGTTACCAGCATATTTTCGACTGGTCGCCTTCAATTTTAACGAAGCGTAAGGATTTAATTGTAGTAGCTGATGGTCTAATTTATAACTTGTCTAAATGAGACTAAATCTTTATTCAATTTGTTCAAATATTAGGCTTATAACACACATGAAGTCTGGACAATACTTTGTTACATATTGCTGTACTAAGTCACTATGTTTAACGTTTTATTTCAGCTCTTTTGCCTTAGTGAATTGATATCAGGACTTGCATTGATAGCAATTGAATAACTGAAGCAGCTATCCTGACAAAATATGTTCTTATATAAATAAATAAGACAGTGGACTATGTGAATTTAATCTATTTAGTTTTTAACTAATATTTGATTTTCATTTCACTATCCAGCATTGATGGGTGGAGCGAGGTCAGCACTGAGACAAAGTCTGCGTGGCCCTGTGGAGATGCAAGGCAGATTGATAAAGTTTTGGATGGCCAACCTTCGCTGGCACCAAGACATGAAACAACAAAAGACCTGCTTGATAGTGCAAAACAAGGTAAGGATTGTTAGACTTCATTAAAAGTTAAATATGCCCTGATGCCCCATTTTGTCATTGTATAATGAATAAACCTTTTATCATGTTCAATGATTTTACATGTGCATTAGTGGAAGAGTAGGTACTGTCAGTTAATGAGTTAAAAAAACTATCTGTCAGTGTCTCTTGTTAACCCATTAGCTTGCAATGCACCCAGATGTGGCCTACTTTAGTTTTTTATTCTGTCTAATGCCAGATGATTTTATTCATCAGTGGAAGATTATTGTTCAGTTAATGAGTTAACAAAACTATCTGTCAGTGTCTCTTGTCAACCCATTAGCTTCCAATGCACTCAGATGTGGCCTACTTTAGTTTTTTATTCTGTCTAATGTCAAATGATTTTACTCATCAGTGGAAGAGTATTGTCAGTTAATGAGTTAACAAAACTATCTGTCAGTGTCTCTTTTTAACCCATTAATTAGCTTGCAATGCACCTAGATGTGACCTACTTTAGTATTTTACTCTGTCTAATGTCAGATGATTTTACTCATCAGTAGAAGAGTTCTGTCAATTAATGAGATCTGTCAGTGTCTCTTATATGTTAACCCATTAGCTTTCTATACACACAGATGTGACCTACTTTTGTATTTTACTATGTCTAATGCCAGATGATTTTACTCATCAGTAGAAGAGAACTGTCAGTTAATGTGTGAAAACTATCTATCTATAAAATTTAGAAAACCAAGCCAAATTTGATTTACATAACAAGAGAAGTGAAGAATATCTACAGCTCTTGAAACAAATCCGAGTGGACTCTGTTGACGTTCCCGACAAGGTTAGCATGTTTAACTTGTTTATTTCTGCTTTGGCTATGATTGTAAAAATGTACTCACTTTTCCCATCATAATTTTCGAAGAACAACCCTCAGCCTGCAGAGGAATCCTTGTCACCAACAGCAGCTACAACAAGGCTTAGCACTGAGGAATTGACATTGTTGCTTCAAGAGCGAATGAAAACCCCAGATGAATGGACAGCAGAGAAAATTGCATCACATTTTAAACTGTCCACGAATTCAGTTGAAAACTTGTTGAAACACTACAATGATTTTAATATTCATGTTGCCCCAAAAATTCCTGAGCCTTTGGAAGAGATTACACATTGAATATTAGCTTTTTAAGAATGCTTGTATACTGGTGTAAAGTAGTATATATCCTATCAGTTCTAAACTGTTCCTCCTAGAGGTTGAGTCAGGATCATCTCTTATTGATCCTGTGTTACTGCAGCTAGGTGGAAACCTAAACTAAATTAAACTAAATTAACTCTATTTCTACTGGATAGTTCTGTAACTTTTCTTCCTAGAGGTCCAGTAAGGATAATCTCTTATTGATCCAGTGTTATTTACTACAGGTGGAAACCTAAACTGAATATATATATATATATATATATATATATATATATAACAAATGCTTTTTATCTGTTGTAGATTGAAGAGTGCTCAACACAATTTTTGTAGAGCGATATTTATTTATTTAATCTTAAAACAGTATTAGCTGCTACTTAAAGTTTCATGCTTCTTGCAATCATCAGGCAACTGTTCACAGTTAAGTTTGATGACGCTACTCAGTTAAAAAACCGTTAGTGAGTGCGTCACCAAAACTGAACTGAACTATGAACAGTTGCCTGATGATTGCAAGAAGCATGAAACTTTAAGTAGCAGCTAATACTGTTTTAAGATTAAATAAATATATATATATATATATATATATATATATATATATATATATATATATATATATATATATATATATATATATAGATATAGATATAGATATATATATATATATATATATATATATATATATATATATATATATATATATATATATATATATATATATATATATATATATATATATATAGATATATTGGTGAAATTCATGAATAATTAATAAGTCTAACTTGCAATCATTGCGCAGTATTTTGGTCACATGTATACATCTGTAATTCTCCGTAAAGGTCTCATGAATTGCTAATTAATATATTAACTTTGATACAACCAATCTTAATTAGTATTCATAACTTTGTTACACAGATGCCCTAATATGCATTAATATGCATCAGGCTGGCTACGCCTCAGGGCCTGAGCTAAGGTTTTATAGTTGACCATTAAACTACATCCTAATTTTTCTTTTGTATAATTTATTCTCTAGTTTTGCTGGCCCATTGCGCGCTATTTACTGAAATTTCTACATCAGCAAATGACAGAGCCCAACTGCTGAAATACAGGTAATTTCATCGAAATTTGCCTGGATTTTGTCCCTTACTTTCAAGTCACACACTTTTTTTGGATTCAAATAGTTTTAAAAATATTTTTAAGTGTTTTTTAAGCCTGTTTCTTTTCCTTTTTATGTTATAGTCAGATAGCTTCAATCATGGGATCTTCTGCCGTATTTGTTGCCGATTATGTGTCAGATAGTGTGAGTAGCTTTTTACCTCAGTAAAATCATCTGACATTAGACAGAGTAAAATACTGAAGTAGGTCATATCTGGGTGCATTGCAAGCTAATCAGTTAACCTTGATTTTTACGTTGTTCACAAAATTCAACACTGACTGGTTTTCAAACCTTTATATAGCAAAATAATTTTGTCGATTTTCAAATACTTTGCGTCATTGTGGCAATAATAAGTTGCGTGGCCATGTGTTATGCTGGGCTCAATGTGAAAGTGGACAAAAAATATGAACCAGTTATGGACGAGAAAGGTATAGGGTCAGCTTGTTTCTTATTTTTTGTGTTACCAACGGTCAGAACTTCAACAATTTTTTTCCCAGGGGACAAAAAAAATGGGCCTACATCAGTGTCTTGGTGGTCACTAACCTTTCAAATATGCATTACAGAAGAATTTCGGTGAGTAATTTTTGTCTTAAAAAACCATGACCAGCCGACAATTTTAAAAAGTAAAGTAAAAAGCAAATTCCGAACAAACAAGACATCTTGAGAATCAAAATATAATTCAAACAAGACACAGATTGAGACTGTAAATTTTCGACTTTATTACAAAGTCATCTTCAGACAGAATGAAATACAATACTTTACAACGCATATATATACAACACAGAGAGAGAGCGCACGTGTCAATCCAGCATGTAGGCGGAAGGCCGGTAAACCAAGCAGAGCGAAACATGATAAGGTTGTGAATAAAACTAAATATGTATGCTATATTTACAACAATATGTTTGATAGATTAATTTATATATAAGGAACGAAAGACCCGACAAATAAAATAGAGAGATTAAGTGAACAGTTGTAGTTCTTTGCTGGCTTTAAGTCCAGTGTTAAGGAAAGGTTTGTTGTGTTTGATTAAGAGTGCTTCAAGAAAAGCGAGAATATGATAGTTATTCGATTTAGTTATAGAATTCTATAGTTATTGAAAACTAAGTTCTCAATAGGAAAAGGGTTATTCAAAGATAATGGTATATCGTTGAGTAGTGAGAACTGGTTTTGTAGTGTGGCTAAGAATTGAGCATGCTCACACTCAGAGAAATGTTGGCCTACTGCACTAGAGGAGAGCCTAGTAGAATGCTCTTTTAAACGTGCCGATATAGGTTTTCCAGCAGCCAGGGCAAGCGACTTCGTATACTAAATTGCTACGAGATAAAGAAGGAAGTTTGTCTTTGTTAGAAACAAAATAAGACAACCTTTTAGTGTCGTAAATAGTGACGAATTTCACCGGTTTGGAAAGAAATCTTTGTATTTTATTGAGACAGGATTTAAGCAGAAAATCGCCCCGATTTCCGAGATAAGGTATACGGATCCAGATTTTGGGCAATAGATTATCATCCGCTTCATGAATAACCGTATTGACAACTGGAGTGGAATTTGGAAAATACTTAGTTTTGAGTTTATTTAGCGTAGAGTATATAACATTATTAGGATAACCATTCCAAGATATGAAAGATTTGATTATTTTAATTTGACTATTGAAAAGCTTTTCCGAACTACAAATTTTAAAAGCACGGTGGTAAAGGGATTTCACCCAAGCTGTTTTGCGGTAGAATGGCTCGAAACTAGAAAAATGCGAGTACTGACCAGTGTGAGTGTCTTTACGATAAACGTCAGTACCATCGACCGTGATTTTTATTTCTAAAAAATGTGCGATAACATCGGGAAAAGTGTCAACTGTGAAATTGAGGTTAGGATCGAAACTATTAAACTTTGTTAAAACACCGGAAATATCGGAAGGCTTAATTAAGACAAGCGTATCATCAACATAACGTTTGTAAAATTTTATAGTGTTATCAGCAATTAATTCAGAAACTATTAATCTCTCAAACTCCGTAAGTATGATATTAGCTAAGACAGGTCCTAGTGATGAGCCCATAGAAACGCCGTCTTTTTGAACATAAATTTGGTCATCAAAGGAGAAGGCTGTTTTGTTGCAACAATCCAAAATGAGTTTTTTTAAAGTGCGTTTTTGCATAGTGGTTACTAACAATTTATCTTTGTAAATTCGATCTAGAATGATGTTGACTGTGCGGGAAAGAGGAACATTAGTAAACAAAGACAACATCAAAAGAAACAAGTTGATAGCCATCTTGAAACAAATGTTTAGGGATGTTGTTAATAGCATTCACCGCATCAAATGAATCAGAGAGAGAATAAGAGTTTAAAGTGAGAGGATTTAGTAGAGACGGTAAGAATTTGCCAACGTTATAGTGAAGAGTGTTGGTAGTGTCAAAGCATGCGCTTTGCCAAAATGTGCTGTGATGGGTTTGAGAGTATCGAGTTGTTCATCAGTGATTTCACCACGCTTATTAAGTTTAAGTAGGTAGCTTTGTAAAGAATGAAGCCTAGTTAGTGTCGGGTCAGTATCTAATTTCTTAAACTTAGACGAATCAGAAAAAAGGGATTTGACAGAAGATACACAGAGAGAGAGCGCACGTGTCAATCCAGCATGTAGGCGGAAGGCCGGTAAACCAAACAGAGCGAAACATGATAAGGTTGTGAATAAAACTAAATATGTATGCTATATTTACAACAATATGTTAGATTAATTTAAGGAAAGAAAGACCCGACAAATAAAATAGAGAGATTAAGTGAACAGTTGTAGTTCTTTGCTGGCTTTAAGTCCAGTGTTAAAGAAAGGTTTGTTGTGTTTGATTAAGAGTGCTTCAAGAAAGGCGAGAATATGATAGTTATTCGATTTAGTTATGTGTAGAATTCTATAATTATTGAAAACTAAGTTCTCAATAGGAGAAGGGTTATTCAAAGATAATGGTATATCGTTGAGTAGTGAGAACTGGTTTTGTAGTGTGGCTAAGAATTGAGCATGCTCACACTCATTTCCTCTGCAATGTTTTTATTTTCTCTTGCAGTTTGCTTTGTGATAATGAATTTTGTACAGGTGTGTACATGAGCAGACTATGATTGATAGGGATATCCAGTATAAATAAAGTTAGTTTAGTTTAGGTTTCCTCCTGTAGTAACACTGGGTCAATAAGAGATGATGATTACTGGACCTCTATGAAGAACATTTTAAAACTGATAGAGCTATGCTGTATAAATAAAAATAGTTTAGTTTAGGTTTCCTCCTGCAGTGATACTGGATCAATAAGAGGTGATCCCTACTGGACCTCTAGGAAGAACAGTTTGGAACTGATAGAGCTATCCAGTATAAATAAAGTTAGTTTACTTTAGGTTTACTCCTGTAGTAACACTGGATCAATAAGAGATGATGATTACTGGACCTCTAGGAAGAACAGTTTAGAACTGATAGAGTTACCAAGTAAAAATAAAATTAGTTTCGTTTAGATTTTCTCCTGTAGTAACACTGGATCAATAAGAGATGACCCTTACTGAACCTCTAGGAAGAACAGTTTGGAACTTTTAGAGCTATCCAGTATAAATAAAGTTAGTTTACTCTAGGTTTCCTCCTGTAGTAACACTGGATCAATAAGACATGCTCTTTACTGGACCTCTAGGAAGAACGGTTTAGAACTGATAGATCTATCCAGAATAAATAAAGTTAGTTTAGTTTAGGTTTCCCCTTGTAAGAACACTGGATAAATAAGAGATGATCCTTACTGGACCTCTAGGATGAACAGTTTAAAACTGATAGAGCTATCCAGTATAAACAAAGTTAGTTTAGTTTAGGTTTCCTCCTGTAGTAACACTGGATCAATAAGAGATGACCCTTACTAAACCTCTAGGAAGAACAGTTTACAACTGATAGAGCTATCCAGTTTAAATAAAGTTAGTTTAGTTTAGGTTTCCTCCTGTAGTAACACTGGATCAATAAGAGATGATCCTTACTGGACCTCTAGGAAGAACAGTTTAGAACTGATAGAGCTGTCCAGTATAAATAAAGTTAGTTTAGTTTAGGTTTCCTCCTGTAGTAACACTGGATCATAAAGAGATGACCCTTACTTAACCTCTAGGAAGAACAGTTTAGAACTGATAGATCTATCCAGAATAAATAAAGTTAGTTTAGTTTAGGTTTCCCCTTGTAAGAACACTGGATAAATAAGAGATGATCTTTACTGGACCTCTAGGAAGAACAGTTTAAAACTGATAGAGCTATCCAGTATAAACAAAGTTAGTTTAGTTTAGGTTTCCTCCTGTAGTAACACTGGATCAATAAGAGATGACCCTTACTGAACCTCTAGGAAGAAGAGTTTACAACTGATAGAGCTATCCAGTATAAATAAAGTTAGTTTAGTTTAGGTTTCCTCCTGTAGTAACACTGGATCAATAAGAGATGATCCTTACTGGACCTCTAGGAAGAACAGTTTAGAACTGATAGAGCTGTCCAGTATAAATAAAGTTAGTTTAGTTTAGGTTTCCTCCTGTAGTAACACTGGATCATAAAGAGATGACCCTTACTTAACCTCTAGGAAGAACAGTTTAGAACTGATAGATCTATCCAGTATAAATAAAGTTGGTTTAGTTTAGGTTTCCTGCTGTAGTAACACTGGATCAATAAGAGATGATCCTTACTGGACCTCTAGGAAGAACAGTTTAGAACTAATAGAGCTATCCAGTATAAATAAAGTTAATTTAGTTTAGGTTTCCTCCTGTAGTAACACTCGATCAATAAGAGATGACCCTTACTGAACCTCTAGGAAGAACAGTTTAGAACTGATAGATCTATCCAGTATAAATAAAGTTAGTTTAGTTTAGGTTTCCTCCTGTAGTAACACTGGATCAATAAGAGATGATCCTTACTGGACCTCTAGGAAGAACAGTTTAGAACTGATAGAGCTGTCCAGTATAAATAAAGTTAGTTTAGTTTAGGTTTCCTCCTGTAGTAACACTGGATCAATAAGAGATGACCCTACTGAACCTCTAGGAAGAACAGTTAAGAACTGATAGATCTATCCAGTATAAATAAAGTTGGTTTCGTTTATGTTTCCTGCTGTAGTAACACTGGATCAATAAGAGATGATCCTTACTGGACCTCTAGGAAGAACAGTTTAGAACCGATAGAGCTGTCCAGTATAAATAAAGTTAGTTTAGTTTAGGTTCCTCCTGTAGTAACACTGGATCAATAGGAGATGACTCTTACTAAACCTCTAGGAGGAACAGTTTAGAACTGATAGATCTATCCAGTATAAATAAAATTAGTTTACTTTAGGTTTCCTCCTGTAGTAACCCTGGATCAATAAGAGATGACCCTTACTGAACCTCTAGGAAGAACAGTTTACAACTGATTGAGCTGTCCAGTATAAATAAAGTTGGTTTAGTTTAGGTTTCCTCCTGTAGTAACACTGGATCAATAAGAGATGATCCTTACTGCACCTCTAGGAAGAACAGTTTAGAACTGATAGAGCTGTCCAGTATAAATAAAGTTAGTTTAGTTTAGGTTTCCTCCTGTAGTAAAACTGGATCAATAAGAGATGACCCTTACTGACCTCTAGGAGAACAGTTTAAACTGGTAGATCTATGCAGTGCAAAAAAAGTTAGTTTAGTTTAGATTTCCTCGTGTAGTAATACTGGATCAATAACAGATGACCCTTACTGAACCTCTAGGAAGAGCAGTTTAGAACTGATAGACCTATCCAGTATAAATAAAGTTAGTTTAGTTTAGGTTTCCTCCTGTGGTAAGACTGGATCAATAAGAGATGATCCTTACTGGATCTTTAGGAGGAACTGTTTAGAACTGATAGAGCTATCCAGTATGAATAAACTTAGTTAGTTTAGGTTTCCTCCAGTGTAACACTGGATCAATAAGAAGATGATCCTTACTGAACCTCTAGGAACAAAAGTTTAGAACTGATCGAGCTATCCAGTATAAATAAAATTAGTTTAGTTTAGATTTTCTCCTGTAGTAACACTGGATCAATAAGAGATGGCGATTACTGAACCTCTAGGAAGAAACAGTTTAGAACTGATAGAGTTACCAGTAAAATAAAATTAGTTTAGTTAGATTTTCTCCTGTAGTAACACTGGATCATAAGAGATGGCGATTACTGGACCTCTAGGAAGAACAGTTTAGAACTGATAGATCTACCAGTATAAATAAAATTAGTTTAGTTTAGATTTTCCTGCTGTAGTAACACTGGATCAATAAGAGATGATCCTTACTGAACCTCTAGGAAGAACAGTTTAGAACTGATAGAGCTTCCAGTATAAATAAAGTTAGTTTAGTTTAGGTTTCCTCTGTAGTAACACTGGATCAATAGAGATGACTCTTACTAACCTCTAGGAAGAACAGTTTAGAACTGATAGATCTATCCAGTATAAATAAAATTAGTTTAGTTTAGGTTTCCTCCTGTAGTAACACTGGATCAATAAGAGATGACCTTACTGAACCTCTAGGAAGAACAGTTTAGAACTGATTGATCTATCCAGTATAAATAAAGTTGTTTAGTTTAGGTTTCCTCCTGTAGTAACACTGGATCAATAAGAGATGATCCTTACTGACCTCTAGGAAGAAAGTTTAGAACTGATAGAGCTATCCAGTATAAATAAAGTTAGTTTAGTTTAGGTTTCCTCCTGTAGTAACACTGGATCAATAAGAGATGACCTTACTGAACCTCTAGGAAGAACAGTTTAGAACTGATAGATCTATGCAGTAAATAAAGTTAGTTTAGTTTAGGTTTCCTCCTGTAGTAACACTGGATCAATAACAGATGACCCTTACTGAACCTCTAGGAAGAACAGTTTAGAACTGATAGACTATCAGTATAAATAAAGTTAGTTTAGTTTAGGTTTCCTCCTGTGTAAGACTGGATCAATAAGAGATGATCCTTACTGGATCTAGGAGGAACTGTTTAGAACTGATAGAGCTATCCAGTATAAAAACTTAGTTAGTTTAGGTTTCTCCAGTAGTAACACTGGATCAATAAAGATGATCCTTACTGACCTCTAGGAACAAGTTTAGAACTGATCGAGCTATCCAGTATAAATAAAATTAGTTTAGTTTAGATTTTCTCCTGTAGTAACACTGGATCAATAAGAGATGGCGATTATTGGACCTCTAGGAAGAACAGTTTAGAACTGATAGAGTTACCAAGTATAAATAAAATTAGTTTAGTTTAGATTTTCTCCTGTAGTAACACTGGATCAATAAGAGATGACCCTTACTGACCATCTAGGAAGAACAGTTTAGAACTGATAGAGTTACCAAGTATAAATAAAATTAGTT